ATCCCATCCCATCCCATCCCATCCCATCCCATCCCATTCGGTTCGGTTGCTGTGTGGTTAGAGGAAGCTGCCTGCCGGGCCAGGTGAGGTGGACGGCAGGGAGCGGAAGTCGCCGCCGACCTCAACGCCGACCTCCCTCTTGGGGGCGGGTGGGGGCCGAGCTGAGAGGCTGCGGGGGCGGCGGCGGCGGAGAAGGCTCACCAGGCCGTAGCTACCCTCGCGGCGGCCGCCCTTCGCTCAGCCGGTCTCGAGGCGCTGCCGCACGGTGGACCAGCCGGGTGACGGGGGGAGGGGAGAGCGGGGCGGAACCTGCAGGGCCGAGCTCGGGGTGCCACCGGAAGGTGAGGGCACGGCCTCCGGGCGCCGGGTCTGGAGAGGTGGGGAGGCAAGAGATGAGGCGGGGCGGGGCGGTTGGGGGGCTGCCCTCGGAGGGCGCGGGGGGGGAGGCGGTTGTTAGTGCGGGTTCTCCCCAGAGACATCCTAAAGCAGCCCGTCTTGCTTGCCCGAATCCGTCCCCAGAACGTCGGGAGACGACGCAACCGAGGCTCCCCCGTGGGAAAGGGCAGGGCTGACGGGCCCCCGCCCCCGCCCCTTCCCGTTCTCTCTTTGCAGAACGGCCTCTTTTTCTAGGAGGGGAACCCCAACTGCGGTAAAGTTAGGTGGTGCAGGGGATAGAACGCTGGACTTGGAGTCAGGAAGGCTCGAGCTCAGACATTTAGCAGCTGTGTGACCCTGGGCAAGTCACTTGACCTCTACCCACCTCTGCTTCCCCATCTGTAAAATGGGGATAATAGCACCTCCTGCTCAGGGTTATGAGGATAAAATAAGGGAGTACTTGCAGATGTTAAGGCGCTAGCTCTTGTTACCGTTTTTAAAGGATGGAGGCGGAGAGAGAAAAAATTAGTAATAAATTATTTTCCTCATTGGGTGGCTGGCTGTAAGGAGAATAATTCGTCTTTTTATGGGTCCCAGAGTTTACAAAACACTTTTTCCTGCCTCTACTTTGTGAGGAAAACAGCTTAAATACAAACTGTTAGGAATAAAACTCTTAATCCATCACTTTAGGCTTTGAATGCTTTTGATTGGTACCTAACATATCATAAGATCTGCAAGACACCTTAGAGATCATTTGGTCCACATTCCCTTATTTTATGTAAGAGGAAACAGAAAGAGAAGTGAAGTGACTGGACCCAAGTCTCACAGCAGATCCTAGATCTGAATCTAATTGCTCTTGACTCCCATCCAGTTCCCTCATCCTATGACCTATCCATCCTGGGCCCATTTGGTATCATTTTATTACTTATGTTGTATTAAAGATAAATCTGGTGTTTTGGAATGGGCTTCCTTCAACAGATGTGGATACTGTAATCGAGATGTTTTTTGAAGGCCTATATTCTTTGCCTTAAAATTTAGTCCATTACAGCAAAACCTTAAATAGGGTTGACAGATTTTTATCCAGTTGACAGGTTATTTGTCTGGGTGAGGAGGTTGAGGGTGCCTACTGAATTCTTTAAGCCCATTTACAAGCACCAGGCTTGTAGGTCTTGTTAATTGCAAGAAATGATCTGGGCAAGTGTGGAACTTGGTATTGATCAACTTCATTGAAAGTAGTAGAAAGTTAGGAGGGTGGTATTATTTGCTCTGTATGGTATATTTGGTAACCTGGATTGTAAATTCTTATATTTTGTTCTCTACCAAATTGCTCCAAAGGAGGACAGGTAGCTTAGGTAATGATTTTAGTGTGGCAGTACTTTGTAAATACTTAATGAGATAAGGACCAAGAATAATTCTTTCACCATAACATCAGACCTTAATTATATAACATCCTGAGGTGGTAGTTATTTTAAATATGCCTGCCCACTGACTGCTTAGCTTATTTTAAGTAGTATGTTGGATTAAAATTTTAAGATAGTAGATGATGGCCTTAAAATTCATTGCTAACAGAGTGTTTCATTTCACACATAACAATTAAATTTGTAAGGAAAATGGACTAGGAATCTAAACAAAACATTTTTGGGTTTTTCTGTTGATTTTTCTCTAAGGAATTCAGAACATATTCTGAGTACAAATTACTTCTAACATCAACTGCCTAAAGGCAAAGAAGAGTATTGCAAAAGAAGAAATTGAAGCTTAGAAAGACTCAAGTAACAGCCAGAATTTGGCAATTCCAAAAAAATTCAGTGCTTCACACTGCCCAGTGCTATATTTACAAATCTGCACAGCCTGTTGAAGAGAGATAACCTTTTAAAAAATACATCCAAAATTGATTATGAATACCTAATTTTTAAAATCTGTTTCATCTTAGATTCCCTGAAGTACTTTACATTAAAGGTATTAGTGTAGCATACCACTAGGGAAATTATAAATTCAAATATACTTTTCTTGTAGGAGCCCAAAGCATTTCAACAATTGCCTTTCATTGGTTCATGTTACATTCTTAAAATGTCACATATTATCTCCAGAAACAAAGGCAAAGGTAAATTATGAAAGAGTTTCATTAGTAGTAGCAGTAAGGAAAGAAATTGTCTCACCATCAATAAATAGTAAGTATTTATTGTGCATGACGTGTAGGATTACAAAGTCTATGAAATTAGGTTCTCTGTCTTCCACGTACTCATGGTCTAATTAGGAAAATAATACAGAGGGGAAAAAAATCTCCAGTATTAGGCAGCATTTAAGTGCCAGATCAATGAATGGTATATGGAAACTGTCAAGAGTTTTGATAATGTGAAACTTTTATTCAGAAGAGGTGAGAGATTATGCTGGCTAAATTAAATAAAAAACCTTTATAGAGAGTATGTGATTTGAAGAGGGTCTTGGGAAAATGATGAAATTCACATAGATTCAGAAACACTCTATGATCTTAACTAGGAAAACATGGACCAATTGGAAATTGTGGACACTTGTGTGAATTGTAGGGTATTTGAAAATAATTGGAGAATTTTTTTATTTTACTGTTAACAACTGTGAATTATTTAATGCAATAGTATTTTCTGATATGTGCTTTATATAATTTTTATAAATTGAATGATTTTGCTGTTTAGAAATCCTCTGGTGAATATTTATGTATGTAAATAATCACACATGGTTACCTTTTTTGTAAATCCAAGCTTTCATGTTGGACTTGCTTCAAGAGTTATACTTATGTGTATGTATGAATGTGTGTATGTATGTATGTATGTATGTAAACACATTTTGCTGATAGGCACACTATTTACTCTGTGTGTTTAATATATACATACTTTATGCCTTAAAATAATTCCTAACAAAATACTTTTAAATAGAGGACTAATAAAACTTGTTTTTAATGAATAGATGAATTGTTCATAATTAGCATTTTTTGAAAAACAATTAGCCTGTTTTCTTCTCTAATTGGTTTAGCAGAATTTTTCTTCATACAGAATGCAACATGTCAAGCAGCTGAATTATCAGAGATTAACTAGTATGATTTTTGCTATACTTTTTTTTTTACACTAAATAGGGAGCTTGCCAGAATTTGCAACCAAAACCTGAGTTCCATAATGTTCCTTTCAAATAACTAAGACAACTAACTATGTAGCAAATTCTTAACTTTTTTCTTAACGTGGTTTATATTCTGGACACAGGCATTGTTATGAAATTAAGAATTGCAAGGACCTTTGGAATGCGAGAAGTGACATGTATGCTGAAGACTTTGTAGTTTTTATTATGCCCATAGATGTCACTTGCCTATGCAGGGGAGAGTAAGAAAGGAAAAGAAAAGGAAGAGTAAAAGGGTAAGGGAAAAAGGAGAGAGGAAAAGTTAAAGTGTATCTGGGGTTTGTGATAGTGAAGGGCAAGCTGAGGTGCTTCAAAGTTTCACTTTGAGGTATTTGCTATCCAGATAGCCTGAACAAGTTAACACCAAGTTGGAAGTTGGTAATTCAATTTAGGCTTATGTATAATGTTTCATTTAAAGGAAAGATGGTGAGAATTCAGAATATACCTTTTTTTGTGTTGGTTTTTTTTTTGGCAGTTGGGGTTAAGTGACTTGCCCAGGGTCACACAGCTAGTAAGTGTCAAGTGTTTGATCTGAGGCCAGATTTGAACTTGGGTCCTCCAGACTTCAGGGCTGGTGCTCTGTCCACGTCACCACCTAGCTGCCCCTCAGAATAACGTTTTGAGAGAACCCTAATACCCACTACTATAATTACTTGTTTTCTACAAATGACAATTACAATACCAACCTTAGTTTCCAATTTTAGCAACTCCTTTTAGGTAATTCTTGCAGAAAAATAAAAGAAATTAGTGGCACTCCCAAGCTAATTGGACTGAGAATGCCAATTGCAATATTAGGTATCATTTTCTTAGATGTGTTATTTAAAGGTTATTTAAAGCAAATCTTTTGAAACCTGCCACTTAATACTAGGTAAAGATGCAGTTTGAGAATGGTAACATTTCAGTAAGGAATGAAATCTTGTCACACAAATCCCTATTGTTATTTTGTGAACAATATTAAAAAATGTTAGACGAGAGTAGGAATACACACATGCACACACATATTTGTGCTTTACACAGTAGGTATTCTAAAAAGCTATATAGAGGATGACTTCTTAATCATATGACTTATTGAGAGACAGTGTGTTTAGATAGAGTCCACTGGGCAGTTTAATTAGAAGAATTGAGTTCCATTGCCAACTCTGTCACTAATTATCTGTATAACCTTGTGTAAATCACCCTTTCTAGGCCCTTATTTCCTTGTTTGTAAAATGATCGGAGTAGACTAATCCCTGAGGGCTAGCTCAAACTGTCTCCATTTATTTAGGGGAACCCTGAGGTAAAACTTCTTATTATATGAATAATCACTTCTGAATTTTTCCCTTTTATGAAGCTACATTTTTGTATATCAGGATTTTCTTAAAAGTGAGAAGTGCCAGTAATTTATTCTTAAGTTTTCATTGCATATTTTGTTGTTCCAGTTGTGTCCAATTCCCCATGACTCCATTTGGAGTTTTCTTGGCAAAGATATTGGAGTGGCTTGTTATTTTCTTCTCCAGCTTATTTTACAGATGAGGAAAGTGAGGCAAATAGGGTTAAGTGACTTGCCCAGGATCGAATCTAGTAAATATTTGAGGCTGGATTTGAACTCAGGTCTTCCTGATTCCAGGCCTAGTGTTCTATTGATTGCACCAACTAGCAGCATACAGCTATAGGAAATTTCTAATTTATGTGTTTTAAAAATTTATAGTTGGATATTTGAAATACTCATTTTCCCCACAAAAACCATGTTATAAAGTTGTAAATTATAGCTAGGTTCCCAGGTAATCCCTGTCTGCTCTCCCCCAATCCATTTAACCAGTAATATTCCTTAAGTCTAATATAATATCAATAAAAAAATTTTTTCTTTTCTTTTTTTTTTAATATGAAGCAATTGGGATTAAATGACTTGTCCAGAATCACACAGCTAGTGAGTGTTATATGTGTAAGGCCTGATTTGAACTCAGATCCTCCTGACTCCTGGCCGGTGACAAACAACCATCTTCCTTTTTCTTGACCTTTGTACTGAAATGTACATGTTTGATAAGTTCACAATTAGAAAAAAAAAAACAGAAAGGACAAGTCTTCTGGGGGATAAGAATTTGGGATTGTACCTTTAATCTCCTTCCTTTTGTTGTTACCTCTCTAATAAATAGAGGCAAGAATCTGGAGAAAGGGACGGGAATGTCCCAGGCAGCTGGGAGGGAAAGGGAATTCTTATGATTACTGTGGGGGGCAGCTATTCCTAGGTGGCATTGTATTTACTAGGGATGTATTCAAGTCATAGACTTCCTATAATAGGTTTATTAAAACCTGTTTTTGTTTTTGAAATCATTGTCAATTTGGTATTAGCAATACTATGTCTCTTTTCTACTTTTAAATTCCTTGGTGACTTTTTAAAAATGAATTTTTGTCCATTTATCTTTATGTAAAAATCAATGATTTATTGAATCCTAATGATAGACACTGTTCTATATACTATGATACAGAGTTGTAGAAGACATACTACCTACTACAAGAGCATAAGAACAGTCTTATAGTTGCTGATTATTCTAAAATTAGTCCTCACAAAACACCAAATTAACCAAAGCTGGCAGTAAGCAACAATTTCTAATATGACTGTTTTTATTGAAGAGATAAGGAAATATTGTAGTATTATACCTACCTTGTTTTCAAACTTACACAAGACTGACACTGTTGCTTAGCAATTGTGTAAGTTTTAGTGTTGTTTTGTTTTATTTTTGGTGTTGTGGGGTTGGTTGGTTGTTTTGCACTCTTCAGTCTTACTAATTTAAAGGAATATCCTTAACTCCACAGAAAATTAAATGTCGTCAGAAGACCGAGAAGCCCAGGAGGATGAATTGCTGGCCTTGGCAAGTATTTATGATGAAGATGAATTTAAAAAAGCAGAGTCTGTTCAAGGTGGAGAAACCAGAATATGTTTGGATTTGCCTCAAAATTTCAAAATATTTGTGAGCGGTGAGTCATGATTCTTGTTCAATTTTAAAGAGATTTTTCTACATGCAGCATTTTCTGGTTTTCCTGGCAGAGATGCCATTGTTATTGTTATACCATTGTTACAGCTTGAGGTGTTGGACGTTATTTGGAGAGTGGCTAACCACTCTCTGCATGTCTCTTTGATAACCTAAATAACTTTCTGCATGTCTCTTCGATAACCTAAACAGAAGGGGTGAGTAGAATTTTAGTTGCTGTTTTCTTGAATACCAAGTAGGATTTCCAGATAGTTTATGCTTCTCACAAAATGGCTTCCAAAATTCTTCCTAACTCCCATTATGTTTGCTGCCATCCTCAGTAACTTTTGCTTAAAAACAAAAAATAAAGTAGCAGTAGGATGTCACAAACATCACAGAAGGATCTCAGGGTACTTTCCCCCAAAAGTTATTACAGTATAGAGGAGAACTGGAGAAAAGGAAGTAAGGTAATACAAGTGAAACTTTGGTTGTGGAAATGCTGACTTGCATGAGCAAGATGCCCTCTGGATGGAAGATCAGTGTGTTGACACATGTTAATCTAAATGGACCATGACACCTGGCCTCAGTTAATCTCAGTGCTTCATACAAGACTATTCGGTAAAGATAGATATTTCCCTTTTCTCTGAAAATTTTCTTTAATTTTCTGCTGTTAAAATAGTGTGTATAATTTGGTGATTCATTAAAGTTGGGAATCTCACCAAACAGTGTATCCTACAGTAAATTATATTTTTATTAAACAAGTCATTGTGCTTTGCTTGATTTTTAAAGGCTGATTTTTTTCCCCTTGAAAGGAAAACTAAAAATTAAAGAAGGAGGGATAGAGACTTAGACATAGGGAACCAAGAGATTTCTCTTTTTTGGGGAAAAAAATTCCATTTTCTTTCTTATACCACCATCACTGACCTCCCCTTCCTTTTCCTCTCACCCCACCAGTGCATTGTTTTGCACCCAGTGGGGCACTCAAATATTGACTGATCCTTGAATTCCCTGTTTTTGGTTCAGGCAATCCAACGGAGTGTCTCCAGAATGGTGGCTTTGAATATACAATTTGCTTTCTGCCTCCACTTGTGCTGAATTTTGAACTTCCACCAGATTATCCATCAACCTCCCCTCCAGCATTCACCCTCAGTGGCAAATGGCTTTCACCAACTCAGGTTAGGTTTGAAACTCACTTTTTATTATCCATTTTCAGGAACTTGAATACTTTCCTTAACTGCTGTTAACCTTGATGGCATTAAAGAAATTCTATACAATAAGGAGTAGCATTTAAATTTTTTTACCTTTATAAATCCTGCTGTTAATGAGAAGTTGATTGATATACTAGACTAGGAATCAGGAAACCTAGGTTCTAATCATAGCTCTGCTAATTATAGTAGTATGATCTTAGACAAGTCACTAAACTCTCTGAGCCTCAGTTTCCTCATCTGTAAAATGAGTTTTGGACTAAATGATGATCCTATTATCTCTAAGGTTTCTTTCCAACTCAGATAGTCTGTTACTCTATAATTGAAAATACTTTTATTTTTTATGAGGTAGTTGAAATGTTTTAATTCTTTTAGTGTAATATGAACCCATCACAGATTGCAGTAGAAATCATTTAAAACCAAGTATATTGTTTCTCTTTTATCATCTTGCATTTTATCCATATTAAAATTGAAAAAATATGTTTTCTCCAAAGTTAATACCCTGTCTTTTTTTTCTCAGGAGTTAGTGCTACTTCTTTCTTTGTATTTGCTTCCCAGCTAAATGTTTTTTTTTTCTTTTCAAAGGAAATCTCATTTAGTTGCAAAGGATTAAAAATTGAGTTTATGTTGTAAGAAGCAAATTTCTTAAGTAAATATAAAAAGTAGCTTTGTTTCATTTTTTTTTACTCTTTGTAGAAATAAACATTTCCTAATTAATTGGACTCTATATTTGAATTCATAAAAGCAGTAATATTAGGTTCTAGAAGATATTTAAATATCTCAAATGTATCTGTAAGGCCAAACACCTCATATTAAGTGCCTACATTTCCCCTGAAATTCGTTATTTTTCTACTTCATTATATTTTGGGTGAAGAAAAAAAAGGCTTTAGGTATAATACAAAACATTCAGGCACAGATTTTGATTCAATAGCAGCAAGACTTGTCAAAATCCTTTTGAAGATCGATAGGCTGAAGAGTGTTAAGAGATAAGCTATCATTTGCTGAGTGCAAAGAATAAGTAGCCTGCCCATTTTCGTTGTTGGTCATGTAGTTTTCACCTCCTCCAACTCTACTTTTTAGAATATCATTAAGTTATGACAATGCTTATAGAGAACGAGGAAACATGCTTCAAGATTAAAATAGGCCACCTCAGAATTTGTAAAAAGGTTATTATACTTTTAAAATTAAAAAATAGTACTTTAAATTTTAATATCTGAGCTAGTGGCAGAAAGCTTCAGTAATAGACAGTAGAATAGAGAATAGAAAATAGTGGTGGCCTACGTGAGTCTAAACTGCCTGGCAACTTGGTAACAGCATGTAGATAATTGGAGTAGAATTAATTTAATAGATTTTTTTATGCTGTTTCTACAAAAAGGTCAGTGTATGCTTCACAATATTTTTTAATTGTATAAATAGTTTAAAATAATTATTTTTCAGCACTACAATGTTAAAAATTAGTAGGGATACAGGAAATAGGAAAAAGAGAGATAGAGAAAGACGGACAGGAAAATTAGGGGTTTATGGTTTTATAACTTAAGCCACAGAGAATAATCCACTTGATCCTGTTATAATGTTCTATATCTAAGATAATTAGAACAACAGGATTCTTTCAGGTGAAAAAAATCCACATTTCTTATTTCAGCTCCTTTGACTTCGTTTACAACTTTCATTGTTTAGATATCCAAAATACCTATTACTAAATGTTCATTTATAGTCTTATAGTTCTATGTGTGATGCTTTGATCTCTTAGCACTATATATACAAGATAGAGTTAACAGTTGGGCCTGTTTCTTTCAAGAGGGTTGCCTCTTTTCTCCCCAAATCTATGAACAAACCAACTACCTTTTTAGAAGCATTGAGGGAAGAAAGGAGGAAGAAAGAAGGGAGTTAGAAAAGGGTTAGATAAGGAGATGGGTCAGTTAGGTGGTATGGCAGATGGAGTGGTGGGCCTGAAGTCAGAAAGACTTGAATTCAAATCCTGCCTAAGATACTTCCTAGCTGTGTGACCCTGGGCAAGTCACTTAACCCTGTTTGCCTCAGTTCCTTATTTACAAAATGAGCTGGAGAAGAAAATGGCAAACCACTCCAGTATCTTTGCCAAGAAAACTTCAAATGGGGTCACAAAGACCACTGAAATGACTGAACAACAACAACAACATAGTTAAAGAGATAGTCATCTAATTTTATGGTTCAAAGAGCAGTTAACCTTCTGATTATTAGTAAGTATGACATTTCTGTTATATAGAATTAAGCCCCAACAACAACCTAGGTTTTTGTTATGAGAAAAGTCATATCTAAATGAAAGATTTCTTTGTTTAACACTGAGTTTATCACGAGCAAATATTAAGGACCCATCTGTGTTCAATATCAGATACTGTAAGAAAGGTAACATGGAATTATGCTGTTCCTTTTCAGTTGGTATTAATTTAAATTAACCAAGATTTGTTTGCCTTTTTAAAAAAAATAGTTTATCTTTAAAACTACTTATTAATGTAACTTTTTATGCATATTTTAGAGGTCTTTGTGGGGTAGAATAGGAGGAGATGCTTATATTTGCCTTTCAGTCTAAACAGACCCTATTTTTTAAGGAGAAAAAAACAAATGATTTTACTTTGCTTCCTTAACTTAGGAAATATAGGCGTTTTATGTAACATTCAAGCTGTACCAACCCATTTTTGTACCTGCAACATTAATCTGATTCCTTTCACTAACTTAGTTTTGTTTTAAACACATATGGGTTAGTGAAATGAAGTTGTAAATCAAAAAATGCACTTGACAAAACAAGGATTTTCCTTTAGTGATTTCTATATGTTATACTTTATTATATAATTATAATAATTTAATTTTAAAAATTGGTCATATTTTTAATGTATTTCATTACTAATCGTAATGCAGATGAAATTTTACATTGTGCAAGGAGAATTTGTCAATTTTTAAACTATCCCAGGACACATAAAAGAGCTAGGACAATAAAGGATCTGAAGCACTTTAGAACTAAATCCTATTCTTTTTAGAACATGTAGCATGTTAGGTGATTTCTGTTATAGTAAAATATAGTATACTTTTGGCAAATTCACTGATTTCTTTGTTCTAGGTTGCTTGAGTCTTTAAGCTTTTAACTTTGTGGTATATTTAGATGCAAAGGACTTACTCTTTAGAAGATGAACTGATGATGAGACTTCCAGGTCATTTTGTAGGATGTCACAGCTAAGGAAAATGATGATAGAGTTTAAAGGCCTAAAGTAAAAGCGTAAAAATGAAATCATTCTGAGTCAAGAGTTAGGTTTTTTTTAATAGCATTTTTTATTTGCGATACTCAATGATGTTACCTTTTTGTTGTAGCTAACTGCTCTGTGCAAGCACTTAGACAACCTGTGGGAAGAACATCGTGGCTGTGTGGTCCTGTTTGCCTGGATGCAGTTTCTCAAAGAAGAAACCCTAGCATACCTGAACATTGCTTCTCCCTATGAGCTCAAAATGGGCCCCCAGGGGAATGTGCAGAGCAGGACATCTCTGGCACCTCCTAACACAGAACTAGATTTTGGGGGGGCAACTGGCACTACCGTAGACCAGGAAGAATTTGTGGATGAGAGAGCTGTGCAGGATGTGGAGTCTTTGTCCAGCCTGATACGGGAAATCTTAGACTTTGATCAAGCTCAGCAGAAAAAGTGCTTTAACAGTAAGATGTACCTGTGCAATATCTGCTTTTGTGAGAAGTTGGGGAGTGAGTGTATGTACTTCCTGGAGTGCAGGCATGTCTACTGCAAAGCCTGTTTGAAGGACTACTTTGAAATCCAGATCAGGGATGGCCAGGTGCACTGTCTCAACTGTCCAGAACCAAAGTGCTCCTCTGTTGCTACTCCTGGCCAGGTAACTGATTGTCTTTTGGGGAGCCTCTCTTTCTCTGATTGGGGAGCAAGTATAGCAAGAGGCTCCCTTATAATCATCAAGATCATTTATTACTTAAAGCCCATAAATTTGTCCACTTTATTCATCTGAAATAATGTGCTATCATTTTAGTTAAAATGAGCCCAAAGGCTGCCTAGGATGGACTTGTAATCAGCTTGACAGTGAAATGAGTTGCTGTGTAAACTTTAGTAACTCTAAGTCTGGTCCTGGGATTATATTTTTATTTGATGGTCTTCTAACTTTGTCTCTGAACTGAACGTGATGGGTTTAAGAAACCCAAAGAAACAATGTTTTGTCTCTTTGCCCTTCTGGACATCAAATTAGTGGCTCTATTTGAAGGTGACAAGAGGGTTTAACACATCTCTGAGCAGCAGACTCATGAATTCTGAACCAGAATCCTAAGGATTTCCTGATAATCCAGAGTCAGTGTCAGAATTAGCATGTAGCACCAACCAGATGTTTCTTCCTTCTTTTTATAGGTCAAAGAACTGGTGGAAGAAGAGTTGTTTGCACGTTATGACCGCCTTCTTCTACAATCTACTTTGGACTTGATGGCGGATGTAGTGTATTGTCCCAGGCCATGCTGTCAGACTCCTGTAATGCAAGAACCAGGATGTACCATGGGCATTTGTTCCAGTTGCAATTATGCCTTCTGTACACTTTGTAAAATGACTTATCATGGAGTTTCTCCATGTAAAGTAACTGCAGGTAATTGTATTAATTTGGAAATGGAATTGAAAAGAATTCTTATAGCTTTGGGGGGAGGGGTGTAAAAGAAAGAACTATTAATTTAAGTTGGCTTCTAGAAAAATGTTTTCTGTTTATTAATACAGCATATTCTAAAGCATGGATGGAGAATTTAAACTTCATTTCATCTAGACCATGGCAAGTTTTCTAAAATTGACAGTCACATATCCTTACTCTTCAACAGTTAGATTAACAAATAAAATATGTTCAAATCTGAAGGGAAGTTCTTGTGGTCATATGAGCCTCCCAGTGTCATAATTAGTCCTATCACAGTTATTTTCACTATGATTCTCCGAAGACATTGAGAAGAACTCTCCTACATTAGTNGTTCAAATCTGAAGGGAAGTTCTTGTGGTCATATGAGCCTCCCAGTGTCATAATTAGTCCTGTCACAGTTATTTTCACTATGATTCTCCGAAGACATTGAGAAGAACTCTCCTACATTAGACCCTAGAAAGACTACCAGAGCAACATTTTGGTGATGTCATCTGGAAAGGGAAAAGCAGAGGCAGTTACAGCATCACTGTAGGACCAAATTGGACATGATAAAGAACTGAAAGGGTTTTTTTAGATTGTATTAAATAGATTTTGTGTTCTGTGATCTTAAGCTTAAAATCAGGTAAGTTGAATTTTTTATTCCTATCTTCCCTGCAAAATCAACAAAGTTACAAAATTAACTGAAGTGCCTATGTTGTCTTTTACTTATGTGTGTCTCATTTTTTTCCTCTAGAGGTGGAAGCTAAAGCTCGTTTTAATTGTTTCAATTTGCTATACTGAGGTAGACATGGAAACTGGATACAGAGAGGTTTAAGATATTAATAAAATTGAGAAGAATCCTAAAAATCCAATGCTAATATTAATTTGTTGATTACTTTTATTTTGAGATTTCAGGCATATCCTATTGACATAATCATGCTAATGTAGAGATGTCAAGAAAAAAGTAATTATTAGAGGCAGAGAGCTCACAGGGTAAAAATGTTAGATAAGTAATTCCACTGGCATTAGAATGAATGAAAATGCAAAATGTGGTTAAGCGAAACTCATTGCGTTGAGAAGAGGATATTCTAAATAGTTGCTTGAAAAATTGAAGAAAGAATTAAGGCAATATTGTCAAGCAAGCAGATTACAGAAGACTGAAGATATTGAAAGATTAAATAAGCAGGATTGTTGAATAAGTTCGTGTTTTTAAATTTAAGGTTATTTGAGTTCCTTGTGAGTTCTGTTTGACTGAAATGGGGAATTAAAACTGGGGAGGCAGGGAGGTATAGTGGAAATAGGCTCTGGTCCCAGAGCACCTTAATTAATAGTCCTCCCTGACATTATCTTTTGCATAAAGCCTTTCCTGATTTCCTCCACCCACTAACTCTACAAAAACTACTATATATTTAACTACTTCATATATTTTTGTATTTATTAATTTTATATTACTACTGTGTGTGTGTGTGTATGTGTGTATATATATATATATATAATATATATTATATGTACTTTGTTCTCACTGCAGCCTCCAGTGCCTTAGCCCTTCAGTTCTTTCCCAGGGTATTACCCCTGTGCTGACAATATTCTCCTCCATTCCCCATCTTGTTATTGTTGTTCAGTTGTTCAGTCATGTCTGAGTCTGAGTGACCCCATCGACCATACTGTCTGTGGAGTTTTCTTGGCAAAAATACTGGAGTGGTTTGCCATTTCTTTCTCCAGTAGATTAAGGCAACTGAGGTTAAGATTAATAGAGGTCAAGTGACTTGCCCAGGGTCACACAGCTGGTAAGTGTCTGAACCCGGATTTGAACTCAGGTCTTTTTGACTCCAGGCCCAGTGCTCTATCCACTGAGCCACTTAACTGCCTCCTAGACAAACAGGTTAAGTGACTTGTCCAAGGTCTTCCTTCTTGACCCCATGGTGAAAGTTTAACTCTATATACTGTCTTCTCTTAATTCCCTTGCCCCCTTATCCTATTCAGTCAGTCAGTCAATAAGCATTTATTTAGCACCTACTATGTGCCAGGCACTAAACAAAGTGCTGGGAATAACAAAAAAGGCAGTCCCTGCCCTCAAGGAGCACACAATCTAATGATTGAGACAACAAGCAAACAAATATGTACAAACAAGCTATATACACGATAAATAGGAAATAATTTAAAGAGAGAAGGCACTAGAATCAAGAGGGGTTGGGAGAGGCTTCCTACATTTTAGATCAGGACTTCTTAAAATTTTTCCACTTGTGACCCCTTTTCGCCAGAGAAATTTTTACATGACCCCAGGTATACAAGTATATAAAATAGGTATACAAATCAAACATTCACTGATAATAAATAATAAAGAAATTTATTTTAAAATTCTTTGATATACATGTAATTTTACCATTTATTAAAGACAAAAGCAAATTTGCATACTAATGAAATAGATGTGCTTGTTCATTTTTACATAAAGAATTAAATCTTGGTGGGATATTTGATACTACAGGACATAGAACATCTTGAACGTTTTTCAGAATTGATTGATGTTTTGATTTTGTAATTGTCAGTGCTGAAAATGCTGCTTCGCATAAATATATAGTACAAAATGGCAGAAGTATGTTTAGGGCCATTTCAGAAATTTTTGGAAATTCTGTAATAATCCCAAGCCAAAATTAATTTAACAATTTTGTATGTACAGTAAAAACACTGCAATTCATAACATACAATAGTCTCGAATCTGAGCCAAGTGTTTCTGGCAGCATTCATTGGCGTGTGACAGATGGCATATGCAGTGCAGAGTACACATGTGTGTTCAGAACCAAGGCTGCGGTGAAGTTTCACCATACAACACGGGCAAGTGCTACCAGAAACACCTCAGATTCATTACACATTTGATTTTGAATTAATTTTTGGTCACTTAGCATTCAGAAACCTTTTACTGTTGCCAAATTTTCTCAACTCCCACATTCAGTTACATGACCCCTTATGTGGTCATGACCCAAAGACAGGATTTTATTTGGGACTTGGAAGGAAAACAGGATGGGGAGATGAGGAAGGAGAGCATTGAGGAACACCCAGAGAATGCCTGGAGCCAAGAGATGGAGTGTATTGCTCATGAAACAGCCAAGAGGCCAGTGTCACCGGATCAAAGAGTTATTTGCCAGGGTGTGAGAATTCTGGGTAGGCAGGGGTGAGGGGAGATGGGAAGGGCAGGATAAAAATCATGAAGGAATTTTGCATTTTATCCTGGAAAGGTGAAAGAAAGTGACTGGAGTTTGAGTAGGAAAGTGATATGGTTGGATCTGCACTTTAAGAAAATTGTTTTGGTGACTGAATGGAGGGGGCAGAGATGACTGAGACAGTGAGGCTGGCAGATCTACCAGCAGGCTATTGTAGGAGTCTAGGCATGAGGTTATGAGGGCCCACACTAGAGTGGTGGCTGTTAGAGAGTAGGGGGTGTTCTGAGAGGTGTTGCAGAGATGAATTCAACAGGTCTTAACATTGGATATGGGGGTTGAAAGGTAGTGAGAAGTTGAAGATGACTCTAGGATACTGGGAGGATGGTGGTGCCCTTGACAGCAATAAGGAAGTTGGTTGAGGGGTAGAGGGAAAGTTTGGGGAGAAAAATACTGATCTACCTCTGCCAGCCTCAACCATCTGCTGCCTTCTCTTTTACTCATGTACTGCTGAATAGAGCTGGAGAAAAATGAAACTGCTGATTGGGTCTACTATAAATCACGTTACACAATCTCAACTGGATCGTCATTGCTAATCACCTAACCCACTCATGTAGCCTTTCCAGACTTTTTTTTTAAATCCCTTCTCAGACCTCCCATGGCTTCCCCCCTCCTCTTCTTAACTGAGAACCTTACCTCATATTTCACAGAGAAAATTGAGGTCATTTTCTTCTTCCCTCATCCTCATATCTTCTCCTTTACCACAGTTTCATGCACAGATGTGGCCTTTGTCCTTGCCAAGACAAACCTCTACGTGTACCAGTAATCCTGTTCTATCCTATCTTCAACAGATTGCTTCTTCTATCATCTCTATTCTCTCTTTGATCTTCAGTCTCTCCCTGTCTACTGGCTATTTCCCTAGTCCTCATATTACCATATCTCCATCTTTAAAAAACCCTCACTTTATCTCCATTCCCACTAGCTATTGTCATATGTTTCTCCTACCTTTTGTGGCTAAACTTGAGGTGTTCTATAATCGCTACCTCTGCTTCCTTTCCTGTCACACTCTTCTTAACTCTTTGTAGACTATATCATAGGACTGAAACTGCCTTTTCCGTAGTTAACCAATGATTTCTTTGGGGGGGGGGAGGCAATCAGGGTCACATAGCTATTAAGTGTCTGAGGTCAGATTGGAACTCAGGTTCTCCTGACTCTAGGACCTGTGCTGTATCCACTGTGCCACCTACCTGTCCCAACCAATGATTTCTTAGATCACTAAATTTAATGAATGGCTTTTTCTTAAACCTCATCCTACTTGATTTTTCTGCAGCCTTTGACACTTGTCAGTCATCCTCTTCTTGTTATACTCTTTTCTCTAGGTTTTCATGACTCTACTTTCCCCTGGTTCTTCTCCTACCTGTCTTATCACTCAGTTTCCTTTCCTAGATCTTCAGGTCCCATTCACTAATCTCCATTGTCCTCCAAGGTTCTCTCCTAAGCCCTCTTTTCTTTTCCCTCTATTACTGTTTCACTTGGTTACCTCATCAGCTGCTATGTATTTTAATTATCTTCATGCAGATGAATCTCCGATCTATTTATCTACCTCTTATCTGACTTTCAGTTTCACATCTCCAACTGCCTTTTTGACATCTCAAATTAGATGTTCTGTAGACATCTTAAACTCAACATATCCAAAACTGTGCTCATTATCTTTCTCCTTAAGCCCTTCTTTCTTCCTAACTTTGCTATTGCTGTCACTACTGTCCTCCCAGTCACCCAGGCTCACAACCTAGGTGTCATCCTTGATTCATTCCTCACTCATTCTCAACACTCACATCTAATCCGTTGCCAAATCCTGTCAATTCAGCTGTCACAACAGCTATCATATATGTCCAGTTCTCCTTCTGATTCTCTCCTTTTTCTCCTTTGGCACTGCTACCACTCTAGTACAGGCCCTCATTATCACATGCCTAGACCATTTCAATAACCTCCTGATTGGTCTTTTCACTCCAGTTACTCCACTCACTTGTCAAATGGATCTTCCTAAAACAGACCAGGAGGGATACAAACACACACACACACTGTCTGACTCACACACACACACACACACACACACACACACGCGCGCGCGCGTGCATTTTTGTTGTTCCCATATAACATTTTCCTGTCTTCGACAAGAAGCCTTTCCTTAGCCCCTTCTAATTAGTGTCCTTTTTTTTGTGATCTCCAATTTATCCTGTATATGTATAACTTGTTTGTACATAGTTGGCTACCCCATTAGTACATGTGAGTTTCTTGAGAGCAGGGTTTGTTTATCGATTTTCTATCCCCAGCTCTTAGCACAGTGCCTGGTATGTTTGTTGTTGTTTTTCAGTTGTTTCAGTTGTGCCAACTCTGTGAACCCCCTTTGGGGTTTTCTTGGCAAAGATACTGGAGTGGTTTGCTATTTCCTTCTCCAGCATATAGCTTTTTATATAGTAGGTGCTTAATAAATGCTTGCTGATTAAGTGATCACATGAGAAAGTCAGAAAGTAGGTTAATGGAAAGTAGAGGTAGGCTATCTAGATAGAAAGCCTGGTTCAACTTGGATGTGAAAGATAAGACTGTAGTGTGAAAAGTGATTCTATGATAGATTTTATTTCCTCTAGTTTAGGCCCCAGGGTGGGTAAAGTTTAACTGATAGCATGTCCTTAAGCAAAAGTTGTCTTTAGGGGCAGCTAGGTGGCGCAGTGGATAGAGCACTGGCCCTGAAGTCAGGAGGACCTGAGTTCAAATCCAGCCTCAGAACAAACACTTGACACTTACTAGCTGTGTGACCCTAGGCAAGTCACTTAACCCCAATTACCCCCCCCCAAAAAAGTTGTCTTTATATATACATCTGGTCATAATCTTATTGGGTGGCTGACTGGAGAAATTGATGAACATGCATTCTTGAACATTTGCCTTTATATAAAATATTACTTTCCTTTCCATTTTCTAGAAAAGCTAATTGACTTGAGAAATGAGTATCTTGAAGCAGATGAGACCAATAAACGGTTTTTGGAACAGAGGTATGGCAAAAGAGTGATTCAGAAAGCACTAGAAGAAATGGAAAGTAAAGAGTGGCTAGAAAAGAACTCAAAGAGCTGTCCTAGCTGTGGCACCCATATAGAGGTGAGTCTGTGGGGACAAATGGAGAGAATGATGTAGGCAGGTCCTCATTTAACTGGTCTGTCTGTCTCAAACTTGTTCAAGGGCAAAAATTTAGGATCAGTCAAGTTTATAAAACCTTTTGGTATTTATTAAATCCCATTACCTGGAAGATACAAATTTTTTCACTATTGAATATTATAATTATCATGTCTTATGTTTATATGGCACTTTACATTTTTCAAAGTACTTTCTTCACATTATCCCTCATTTGATGATATCATTCTACCATATCTACCACATAAGGGTGAATTGGCTTCAGAAGTAATCACACTGTAGCTGTGGTCTTTGATAGGCCTATGTATTATCCTAGGCCTTTTTTTTCCTTATCATAAGCTGACCTTCTGCCACTCACATTTCTCCCGGGATACATTGCCCTCGTACTTTTTAAGTATTTGCTCAAAATGCAGCCAAATACAAATGGTTTCTTTGTTACCTGTACTGTGAATTCCCCTTCCACCTCTCCCCCCGCCCCCAATTAGCTCAGAGTGAACTCTAGCTAATGATGTTAGTTGCCTGTATTACAATTCCTACGAAAAAATGCCATTGGAGCCAATTGACACTGACATCCAAAGAGCTGTATATTGGAGTTGGAGGATTTTTTATTATTTTTTAATGAGATTCAAATTCTTCTTTAAGTATGTATTGTCTTATTCCTGTATTTTTCAGTTCTAAAGGCCAGATGTTCCTTGGTTTGGATTGGCCATCAGCCAAAAGTTTTTTGCTATAAGAAGTATTTGAACACTTGTTGAAAATTTTCTTTGCTTTTATTGGCATTAAAGTGAAGTAAAATTAATAAATTGTCATGTGTAACCCCAGTGTGAGGAGTAGGCATCCTAGTAAAATTGGTTAGATGTCATGCAGAATCTATGTGTGTTATGTTCCTTTTTGATTTTATAGTATTGTTATTTCTACTTTTTCTTTCTCTCTCAGTAGAAATTAGATGGGTGTAACAAGATGACATGTACTGGCTGTATGCAGTATTTCTGCTGGATTTGCATGGGTTGTCTGTCTAGAGCAAACCCTTATAGACATTTCAATGATCCATCTTCCCCGTGCTTTAACCGGTATGTATTACACAGGAATGGCCTAAGGCAAGCAATATTTTCCACTACTTCTTAGAATAGCTTAAATAAATACAGTAAACTGGACCATGTATCTGTTTCATTAGGAAGCAGTTCACTGAATATGTATTCTTTTGGATGCTGTTAGGGTTCCTTTTTTTTTTTTTAATTTGCTGCAATAGAACTTATTAATGCTGGTATCTGGGGACAGAACTAGTCCCTATCTTTATAGGTTGTGCTCTATAAGGCTTTTTATGTAATTATGTTTCAGAACAGATATCATTTGACTTGTGGTATCTGTCTAAACCCATGTAATAACAAATTCTGTTATAGTGAGGTTCTTACTTCTACTGTACATCAGTACACTAGTCAAGTTAAGAATATCTACTGTGTGCCTTCAGAGGACGTATGGAAAAGAACAAGGGGCCACTAAGTGGCGCAGCGGATAGAGCACCAGCCCTGAAGTCAGGAGGACCTGAGTTCAAATGCGACCTTAGACCAAACATTTGACACGTGCTAGCTGTGTGACCTTGGGCAAGTCACTTAACCCCGATTGCCTCACCAAAAAAAAAGAAAAGAACAAACAGTTCCTGACCTGGAACTACTCAATAGTGAAAGAAATAAGACATTACTTTTTTAAAATAAATTGAGCAGAAATCAATTGGCAAGTGCATAATAATGTAGGAAGTGAGAGCTAAAAGAAGAATGAGTGGTTAGCATTAAATAGGGCTTAGTGGCTTTCAAGAGTTGATACACCTCCTCCTTAAACTGACCAATATAGCCAAGGAGTCACTGCATATAACATGCATGCCCTCAAAACTCAACATATTTGTGAAGGTGCACACAGTTAAGAGTATTTTATCCTTGGGCTTGGATTGTTAAATTTGAATCCTGGAGGAGAGTATCTGTTTAAATTTCTGTAACAGCTTTTTAGGTTTATAAAGCACTTTCCTCACAACTATGCTAAGGAAGAAGATAGAGCAAGTATTTTGCCCCATTTTTTAGATGAAGAATTTTGCCCCATTTTTTAGATGAAGAAATCAAACATTATATAAATTAATGTACTTGCTCAAGGTCACGCCACTTAATATCAGAGACTGGACTTGAACCTAGGTCTGCAGACCCTATGATGAAGGACTTCCAATGAACTACATTGTGCTGCCACTTTAAGGGCGCTTCAGCAAACTCTTTCAGGACAAGTTGCATAGCTGATACTTGGCACTGAGTTCATCCTTCTGTAGTAGAATGCTTAAAAAGTTAGGAAAAAAGTTCTGTAATGGAATTATCAAGAAAGAGGAGCCAAAGATGCTTTTTAAAAAAAAGAAAAGGAGTGATGTTTCATTTCTTCCCAGTGCATAAAAATGCATTTTATTTTGTGGTTCTTCCAGGTTATTTCAAGCTGTGGATATTGATGGTGACATTTGGGAAGATGAGATTGAAGATTAGTTAAACTACTTTATTGCTCAAAGCTATAGAAGTGGAATGGTTTGCCCTATTCTTTTGTTGAGTACAGTGTGTAACCCTGCAGGAAGTTTAGAGAACCATTCATTCTTCCCATGTAGGAAGTGTGGAAGAACATGTTTTTATTTTCGTTTTCTGCTGATTAAGGCACGTGTATAATTTTCCAGTGTTGTGTAATGTGAACAATTATAAGCCAAAGGTTTTAGAAAACATTAGCGAAAACTAGATGAAGTATTCAATATCACAATGTGCCCCAGATTCTGAACTATAAATGTTTTCTTTGTTACCCAGGCTCAGAGGGAGAGGGGTCAAAATGATAATCTTTTAAAGACCTTTTTCATATCTCTCAGGCATCTTGCTCTTCAGGGCATCAAATCAAAAGCACATTCCTTGGGGTCATTTCCTACTGGAGCCATTCAGTACTGCTCTTTACACTCTAGGGGAAACTGCTAAATCATAGCCTAAAATGTGCCCTTCTCATCAGTGTCAGGTCACGTACCTGCCATATCAGTCCCAGACGTAGGAATCTTATTTCCTGCTAAGTTGAGTATAGCTGAATAGTGATAAAGTTGTAAATTTTCAGTTGATCAGATCTTCCAATGGCCTCTTGCACTTCTGGCTTTTAGAATCAAAAGAGCATATGGACATTTTTCCAGTTTATCAGAAATCACTTATTTTTATCTGGTATCACAAATATTTGTGGATCATTTCATACCTATTTTCTTATTTATTTAACCAACAAATTTGGGCCAAATGTAGAGTTCAGTGAATTGTTACGGAATCAGAAGAACATGAGTGAATCCCTTCACTTTAAAATTATGATGTATATTCAATTCTAATCCATTTTTATATGAAGTAAAATTCAACAGTGACTTTCCTCAGTCACCTACTATTCTCCTACCCCATCTCTGACACATACCTTTTAAGTTGGGTTGGTGATTAATGCAAACTGATTTTAATATTATCCTGAGTAAAACATATTATGAATGAAATCAGTTAGGCAGAGGGTAAGGTTTCTTTTAGTTAAACCTAAGGGGAGGGGGAAAAACAGGTGTGGGGAAAACTGATATATTTCCAAGGTGAATAAAAATTATATTTGAGTTATCTTCTGCTTGTGACTATTTAGAATGCTACTCCCCTGGTAGCAAGTAATCAAGGTGATAACAACCCTGACTTTGAATTCTGCTTTTGAAAACCATACTTTCCAACAGTGATTTAGAGTTTTTGGTTGGAAATACAGAGCCTTGCTGTTCAGTTTTTGCAAGCTTTTAGAAAGCGACTATTTTTGGTAGGAGTGACTTGATAGCATAGTTAATATAAAGCTTCAAGTAAATTTTTCTGGCTGAAGAAGGCCTATAGATAGTATCTTCATTTGCTGTTTGTAAAGCCAGTCCTTTTCCATGCATCTGCATGCAAGTTATTGAAAATAAAATTAGTATTTTTTTGTTTTACTGTGATTATTGGGTTACATTTTGGACCACATAGCTTTTGATTGGCAATGGAATTGTTAGCTCAAGTTATTAAAAGTAAAATTAGTATTTTTTTGTTTTACTGTGATTCTAAGGTTACATTTTGGACCACATAGCTTTTGATTGGCAACAGAATTATTAGCTTTTCTTTCTTTATGTGATTTGTTTGTGCACCCCATGTTGAGAGGGTAATTTGGTCATCTTACTAGCTGTCGTGAGCTAACTTGTTACCAATTCAGTTCTAAAGCAATTGTCCATTCAAGATAAATGGGTATAATAATTGGATACTTAAGAAGACGGCAAAATAAAATCATAGAATGAACTTTTTTTTTCCTGAACCTCTAATTGGAGTTAGAATTCTAGGACCTGTGTTTTGACAAAACTGATTGTTTTCAAGGACAGTACCTTTTACGAACACTTTTTTTTACTTCATTTTTTAAAATAAATTGAACACAATAAATGTGAATTCAGAAAACTAATTATCCAGTATATATCAGTGTAAATGGCTGCTGAGTGAAAAGAGAATTAAGTTCTGGTTTTTAAGCAACAATTACTCTCATCAAATTGGGTGCTTAAATCTGTTAAATTGTCTGCTTTATGCAAATTATTGTATTAGTTGAGACCACTGCATAAAATATACCGTTAACTGTTAGTGAGTAGAAGCAGGGAAGCCATCTTTACATGGGAAGAATAAGAGTACTTCGAAATGTAGAAAAATGTTTTTAGATTTAAAGCCTTTACCTTTAACCATAGACATTAGAAGGGGAGGATCCTTATTTTTTGGCATGATTTATAAACTTAATTTTAATATGGCTTCAAGTTTTAGCTTCTAATTATTTTATTTCTGAGTGACTGGAAAAAATAAGAGACTGATATTTATGTGTGAGAAATACTTTGGAAAGGGATTCTTCATCTAGAAAGTACACAATAGAGAAAAGAGATTTCATTTATGTTTATAGTTTGGTTTCATGAAGGCCTTGGTTACTGAGCAGGATGCTTTACCATAGCTTAACTGAATCCCAATGAAAACTTCTGAATATTTGTGACAGAATGATATCCTCTTCAGATTTACTGCTGTTTATTAGGCCTAACACAGTGGTTAGAAGAAACCACATCCCTCTTAATTTTGTAAAGTAGGGTTTGAGTCTAGTTCTGTTAAAAATGAGAATGTAATCTACAAATGAATAAATCCTTTATTTTAAAAAAGCAAATTAGAAGGCTCCCTCCACTTTCTCAGGAGATTTCCATTGGCTGCTTGTGGTATGGTATGTATGTGTTAATCAGCATGGTGTAATTCAGGAGTGGGGGACCTGCGGCCTCAAGGTCACTTGTGGCCTAGGGCCTTGGGTGTGGCCTTTTGACTGAGTCTTAAGTTTTACAGAACAAATCCTTTTATTAAGGGGATTTGTTCTGTGAAGTTTGGATTTGTTAAAGGGCCGTACCTGAGGACCTAGAGAGCCACATATGTAGCCTTGAGTGTCCAGGTTCAGTGAAGTAAAGAAAGCCCACTTCAGGTTTTGAAGCCCATATTTACTCTTTATCCCATGGAAAGGTGCTGAACATGGTAACTGTCACTATTTTCTGGCCTTGTTTTATACCAAGTTTGTTATAATGCAGGGGTATCTAACATAAATCATGTTTTGATCCCCAAAAAAACCAACTCAAAAATCTTGAAAAACAAATGGGCTGTTTTGAGTTTTTAGTCCCTTGCCTGCTGATCACAGTATTTTCCAAGGCTCCAACTGGTTTTCTGGGATTATTACATATCCTTAGTATTATCAAGACAGAGATAAATCATTTAGAGTTCATGAGAACAAAGCTTCAAATGAGATTGCAGAGTACGGTGTGTCTTACAAACAGATTTAGACCCTGAAATGTGGAGTGGTAGAAAAGGATTTCTGATCACTGAGCCACATTCTGAGACTAATGAGCTTATTGAATATATTTTAAACTCACATGATAACATTGACAAAAGATGCACAAGTTTTGAGTGCTTATTAAAAAGTGCCACCAGTAGATGGCACAAGTCTGTGTTGTGGTCGAACTACAACAGGATAGAGCGTAATTGATTAAGTGGACTAGTGATGAAATCAGCTGACAGTCCATTTGATTTTCTCCCTACCTTCTCTCTCCATTTCCCCTTGTGTGTGTATATATATACATGGAGTAGGAACTAAACTTGTGATTCCATTGGAAACTTCCTCTGCAATTAAGTCTTAGAGAGATGCTGCGAGGTGTACAGAAGCACTCAGAGGCAGGTTTTAAGGCCAGCTCTTCCCACTATGCCCCACCCAACACACCAAATATACAAAATGTCAGCTAATTATGTTAGAAAGGCGGGAGGAATGTGATAATACCAAAACATTAAGGACAGTCTAGACTACACGAACATTGACAGTATTTTGCCATGTAAGCAAAGCAGTGAACTCCAGAATTCTGCAGGCATCAGCAGAGAATCAAGTAAAGATTAAGTTACAGGTAAACCTTCAGTAAATTAGGAGCAGGAGAATCATAACACTATCTTATCCTCTCAGACTTAATAGCCAGACAATCTTTCTTGAATCCAAGTTTACTAGATCTCTGTGGTCAGAAAACTAGCTTCCCTAGGGTGGGTTTTAACATTAATGATGAATATGAACTTTAAGCATCCACAATATGAAGATTAAGACAGAATTGCTAATTTCATTTTTCTCTGACTATGTAATGACAGAAGGTGGTGACGCTTAGTTATGTAGACATAAGATTAAACTAAATACAGGAACAAAAATAGGTGATCAGTTTCATTATTGCAACTATTACACCAAAAAAAGTTATTCCAACACCTTCCAAAATAAATTTTAAATTGATTATGAAAGTAGGATCATAGGGTTTAGAACTGAAGAGGCCCAGTAGCTAAATGAATTGCCCATGGCTATGTAGTTATCCCAGGTCTTCTGATATACGATCTTCGTGGCTTTTTTTTTCTTTTTTTTTTTAAAATATATGAGGCAATTGGGGTTAAGTCACTTGGCCAGAGTCACACAGCTAGTGAATGTTATGTGCCTGAGGCTGGATTTTATCTCAGGTCCTCCCAACTCCAGGGCTGGTGCTCTATCCACTGCACCACCTAACTGCCCTTTCTTATATACCCTGGCTCTTTCTTATACACCGGAAGTGTCAAACATACATGGCACCTGGGAAATATTTAACAAAAGTGGCTCTGTACCACTCATACCGTAATATTCCTATCACATTCTAAGTGTCATTTGAAATCAGAATACCAGGCTCCAAATCTTACCTCTGTCACTACTTTTGCAACTCTGGGCAAGTTACAGCCTCTTTGTGCTTTATTTATTTTTTTAATCTATATAAATCAAAGGAGTTAAGTAATTAGATGGTTTCCTTGCTAGAGGCCATATAATTGATTAAGGAGGAAAGATCTGGAGTTCCAGATGACAAGTATAATTTTGAATCTCTAGGCTTATATGAAGAAGTGAGTCATTGCAAAACATTTTACTTATAAAGTAAACATGCCAGTGGTCTTTGTAGGGGAGGATTAAAAAGGAAGTTCATTACTCTTCACCACGTTCCATTTGAAAATATCAAATTTAATAGAAAATATCACATTGTAAACAAGTCCATTTATCCATCAGTTCAAAACAATTTTAGTAATCACATAAAAGCTAAAATTGAAATACAAGTAGAAAACACAGTTTTCAAAAGTTCTGTCAGAGGCACCTGAATCAGACTCAAGACTTCCCCACAAAGTGGAACCAGCAGTAGCTTGTCATAGGCACATAAAAGATTAGATAGTAAGAAGGCTACAGAGTGGGTGGAATGAATATGGCCATCCAAACAGTGGAACTTCCCACATCTAGAAGAGGGATGATAGCATGAAATGTCCTACCTTCAGCAAAATATCCCTAACCAAAAAAGGTCCTAGAGGGCAGGGGCAGTATACCTGATCTAGCTTAGTATCTCCCTCAGTGCCTAATACTTTGTCCATAGTGGGTGATGATAAAGGTTTATTGAATGAATATTAGCAAAGTGCACAGGCATTTTAAATGGGGATGGACAAACTTTACTAGGTAGACTTTTCAATATGTATAGCCTTGCACTCACAAATCTCAAGAGTGAAACATTAATGTTCTTCTATTAAACCCAATCCTAAGAAGAGAGGGGTCTGCTGTGAGAGAGAAGACAAGGACAAAAAAAGAAAAGTAGATATTCTTCCCCACCTACACTCGTCACATCTTGTTCAGGTCCAAAATGTCCACTTTCCCCAGGTCTGCTCTTCCATGCTACCAAAGAGACCCCTTCTAAACAAGGTGTGCTCCCTGTGCCTTAGGGGCACTTTTTAAAAAATGTTCATGTTGGGCATTTCTATATCCATTTCCCCTTATTTAACAGGTAGAACATGGCATTAGAAAACAAGAAATAACATATTTCAGAGAAAACCAAATCACAGCACAAAAATACCCATATCTGTAAGCTTCAACCCTTACAAATGAGTACAAAATACCCACCTACGCTCATTTTCATCAAATGCAGACAAAACATTGGAGTGGGCATATACATATTTAATCAGTGAACTTTTTTTTCCCCTAAAGACCTGTTCCCTCAAAGTCTGTATCTCTTTGGGGGATTGGACAGCTGGCTTCAAGGGTAAGTTAGTCACTATATGGTCTCTTTGAAGGTTGGCTGTCCTTTGCTTCTTTCATACTGTACAGTGGTTCCACTAGCTTGTTGTGAACAATCATCAACCCTACCAAAAGAACAAAACAAAAACCATGGTTAGCTCAGGTTTAGGTACACCACAGAGTAGTTTTCAGAGGCCATCCCTAGAGATTGTTTAACTTTTTTTCCAATGTCTTCTAGGTCATAAACACCTTTCAGGTAGGAATTGCATGTATTCTGTCTAATAAGGCTTCAATGCAACAGTTATATCCCATGAATTTTCTTATTTGGGATATTTTCAACTTTATAATTCTCTCTGTTCCTTAAAAAAAATCTCCACTGTCTTAAACAATTAGCTTTTTTTTTAAGGAATAGAGAGAATTATAAAGTTGAAAGTATCCCAAATATTGTGAATAACAAAAGACTACCATCTAACTCCCATGCTGTGGTAAGGATCCTCAGTTTTCACACTGTTACAGATTGAGTGCCTCACATTGTTAGATAACTACACAAGGTAAGGCATTGATTAGACTAAGTGCCCTGGGACTTTTAAGCAAACTGATTATGGGAAAATCCAGATTTATATTCGATGTTTCATCATGATGTGTATCTAACCTTGGGTTCTTTGAAGGCTAGACCAGAAGAGAGCTGGTGGTAATAGTAGACTCCAAGCTTAACAGCCAGAGAAACAACCAATGCAATCTTAGGCTGCATAAAGAGACTAAATCCAGAATAAGGGAGTTGATCATTCCATTATGTTGTCCACTTTTTCAGAACACCTCTGAGCAGAGAAGTCTTCGAGATAGCTATGGCCCTTCCAATGCTGAGATTTTGTGATTGAGTTAAGCTGAAAAGGCTTCACTAATATACCTGGTGTGTTTAACATCCTAGTGTGTTTAAAATTACTTCTATAATTTGATAAATTATAAATAAGAAAATTCATGGGATATATATATATATACAATTAGCTCTCAAGGTGTGAAAAAGGAAGCCATTTTTACAAGAAGGTTGTGGTTTTGCATATATATATACATATATATATATATATATATATATATATCACCCAGAGATTCAAAGTAGGAAAGTGAAATTCACTCCTCCCTCTCTTTAATTCCATATCAACCCTTACCTTTGAAATACTTAACAGTTTTCACTTTAAGCTCCAGTGTGGCATCTTCATCACACACAAATATTACACGGGGGTGCTGCTGGAAGGCAGACACGGTCCACATGTGATTTATTCCCTCCTCAATGGCTTTGTGCAGTGCAAGTGCCTTTTGGGCACCCGTAATTAAGATCATGACCTAGAGATTGGAAAACAAGAAAGTTCACTGGACAGGGAGGGAATCGAGGCCCCCAAGAGCTTGCTGTAACCCTGTCACTAAACCATTTCTCTTGGGTCTATTTACTCAGATATAAAATAAGGGGACTGGAGTAGACAATTTCTCTACTCTCAGTTCATAAAAAAACGTTAATAGCAAATAAACTACCTGATATTTATGCCACTGATACCATACAGTACAGCAGCTGGAATGCTGAGATTATGAAAGGCCCTCACAGAGGAGGTGACACTGGAGAGCTTCAGAGAAGCCTAGAAACAGGTGCAGGGTGGGTTGTGGGAAGTGGCCGCTTCTGGAGACTCTGCGTAGGACACTATCTACCTCACTTGAAGTCTGGCTTGGGAATGATGGATGATCAGCTGTAGAGGTATGTACATATATATGTGTATATGTATGTATATGGTTAGATAGGTACAGCTTGTACTAGATGGAGGTAAAGGTTCCTTCTAGCTTTAGCAACTATGTTGTTCTGTGAACTTGAAGTAAGGAAGACTTGGGTTCAAATCCCACCTTTGGTCACTGTGTGACCATTTGTAAGTAGCTTAAGTTCTCTGCTTGTTTCTTTTTTTTAAAATGGGGGTAAATGATACCTTTAATACTTACCTCACATGGTAATGAGGCCCAAATGAGTCAATGTATATAATGCGCTTTGCAAACTTTAAAGTGCTATAAAACTGTCGACTATTACTATAACATATCCTTGTGAAGAAGCAAATAGGCACTTTCAAGCCACAAACATCTCTTCAATCAGTTCTGATGCTGAAATTTGCTTCCATTATCCCCTAGGCCTCCATTTTCTAAACTGTAAAATGGGTACTGTTACTTATCATCTACCTGAAAAAAAAAGTTATCTATAAAGGGGTTCCAGGGAGTAACTGTAAAATCCAAAAGGTTATTACCTAACCTAGTCACCAGTAGGGAATTAGATGCCTTAGTTAATGCCTACCAAAAAACCATTAGCCAACTGGCTTTTCTTAAATATAAAAATCCCTATTTTTAATTTTATAACCACACCTCATGGCTGAAAGGTAAACCCTTTAAGGGCAAACTACAAAGAAAGGGATGACACACTGGTTCTTCTATTTTGCTTTTCTTCTCTGAGATACAAAAATAGATGAGGGCTCAGGGAAAGAACTGGACAAGCAAGCAACATGTGCTTGCTTCAGAAGCTCTGAATTCTCTAATTCCGGGAAACACATACTAGTCAACTAGTCAGCACTGACCATCCAACTCTGGAGTCGAAGCAACTTGAAGACTGGAGCTTGGAGGCTGCTTTTCCTTCATTAAAGTTTTATTGTTGTTTTACATAAAGTAATTAGAGTGAATAAATGATATCCAAAGACCTTTTCTAGCTTAAAAAAAAAATTCTACAACTCTGAATCTAAGTTCAGAGCCCCTAAAACTTGGGACTTCTCCATCCCCAAAACCTTTCATCTTGATTTATTCTTACATATGGCTCTAAGTAGAGGTTATTATGCCTGTCTTAAAATAAAACCAAGATAGCAGTAGCTGAAGTTGAGTCTGTGCTACCCAGCAAGTAGTGTAGACTTGGGATAGAAGCCAGGTTTTCCAGTTCCCTGATGAGGCTCTTCTCCTTTGAATCATAATTATAACTTTTTTTTTTTAAGTTAGGAGGAAGAAAGGCCTTTAAGGCACCAACATTTTACAAACTTCAGGAGAAATTTAAAAATATAGTGCCAAAACCATCTACTAGCTCAGGGAACCAATGAACCCACCTAAAGTTTAAAAAGAGAATGGGGAGGGAGAGAAGGGACGAGTTCTCCACCTTGCAAAAGGATGAGATGAGTCCTTTACATTTGCATTTAAGTGAGCAACTGAACTGGAAGTTCAAAAAGTTTAAAGCCACTTCCTGTTGAAGATCTATCAGGAATTACAATAAAGCATCTCTGAAATTTTAAAGTCACTGCAAATACTGGATTCCACTGACAAGAATTTCATCTTGAAACAAACTGAATATACCTATTTGGAAGGTCAACTGCAACCAATTAGCCTTGCCCACATTTACCACTCCAATCATTGGACTACAGGACACAGGTGTCTGCTGGAAGGAAATAAACTTCCCCCAATACAGACCTGAAATGCAATGAAAAGGAAAACAAGTGTCATGGGCCCTGGGCATGTTCTATCTTACATGCCAACATTAAACCCCATGTGGTTTAATTACACACCCTTGACTCTGAGAAAGAAACATGAAAACACTACTGAGACTGAAGGTATCGTCCCATGAGTCTGCCACCCTTCCCAGAGATATGCCTTATGCTATTCTGGATCAGGAAGGAGGGGGAATCACACTCCTGTCTTAAGAGAAGCCTTGCCAGATGGACAAGCCTCCCAGAGGAAACGTCAAGGAGATCAAGGGCCCTTCTATCATCTCACCTCTCTGGCATCCATGACTGTACCCACACCCACAGTGAGAACCATCTTGGGGACTTTCGAGAGTTCTCCATCGAAGTACCGAGAATTGGCTAGGATGGTATCCATGGCCAGAGTCTTCACTCGGGTCCTAGACACCAGACTGGAACCAGGCTCATTGAAGGCGATGTGCCCTTCAGTGCCAATACCTGCACAGGAAATAGGTGGTACCAGGAAGACTACATAATGGAAGTCAATACTCCCTCATCAATAGTGGAGATTTCCCTGAACCGTCAAGATCACAAACACCAGGACACATTGACCAAAGAACCACCCAAAAGAACATGGTACGATGGAAAACAAGTCCAAGTTCTGCTGCTAATTAGCTATGTTGTGGGTGACCTCAGGAAAGTTATAGTCTCTCTCTGCTTCAGTTTCTTCATCTATTAAAGTGGAAAGAACACCTTTTCTAGCCACCTCACAGACCTAGTTTAAAAATATAGATGAGATAATGTAGATTAAGCACTTTTGAAAAAAGTTAAAATCATACAAATATGTGACTCAGTTTATTACTCAACACACTATATCCTGGTTATATACCTGACAGCTCAGCCTAACACAGCAAACTTTCAGACATAATAAGCTCAGGGCTATCCCACTGTGGATTATATTAAAAATGCTTTCTGTCATTAGTTTATAAAGTTTATCAAGTGAATCTCAGAGTGCACAACACTGGAGGAAAAAGGGTGTGCTGGTTATTAAAAGTACACAAAACATCATGATACGTGCACGCACACATAAGGTTAACTATTATGTTCCAAAATAATTCTGCTAAGCCATCCTTTGCTCTAATCAACATGTTGTGACCATTTGTGTGCTGTGCTCCTTGTCAGGAAGTTATAAAGCATCCAGGAGACAAATTATGCCTACCCTCAACAGGCTTACAATTTTTTCCAAAAGGCAAACGCTTCCTCCCTAATCCCTTCATAACTTAGGAGTTGAAAAATTAGTCTCTTCCCCTGCCCCCAAACCCATTTGGTGGAGAAATTATTCTGAAACCTTTAAGCACACCAGAACTGCCACACCAATTAAGCTCAGAAGTCTGTCTGGTGGGAATGGAGGGTCCAAGAACTGAGGTGCAGTACCCTTGTCCTTCCTGACATCATTACCCTCAGACCTCTCCTGATTCAACAAATAAACTAATACTTTCTGTTCTTACTGTAAATAGCTGGGAAAAAACTTATGGAATTTATATAAATTTAGAGCTGCATGAGACTTTATCGGAGGTAATATAATCCAAATTCCTCATTTTATAGATAAAGAAACTGAAGCCCAGAGGTCAAGTGACTTGCCCAATGTAGCAATAATGAAGGCACTGCCAGGATTTGAACCCACATCTTCTGACTCCAAATCCATTGCTTTTTACACTGGATCATTTTGCCCTCAAAAGAGAGAACAATCTGAACATAATGTAGCTAATGAATTACTTTATTGAATTCAATAAATATTTCATGTAGGAGAGACCTTAAGATTACCTAATCTAGCTCCCTTAATTTATGGATGGGGAAACTCAGACCTATAGAGAAGTGATTTGCCTAGTACTACAAGGCAGAGTTTCCATGCCATATGGCCTCCCACCATAATGTACTGTTCATTGTTTCTAGTAGGAAGCAGGACAACAAAAGGATGGACAAATTTTAATGTCAGCAGGGTGGAGTGGGAGAGGAAGAAATGAGTTAGGGCCCAACCCAGGAAATGGGAAGTTAAGCAGCCTTTTTTCTAACCAGACTGTAGGACAGGAACTATGCTTTCTCCTCTTGAATACTTACTGACAGACCAATCTGTCAAGTTTGACCTCACCTCCAACACAAAGCTCAATCCCTCCAGCTTCCTTGATCTTCTTTTCAAAAGTATCACATTCAGTCTGCAGGTCAGATGCATTCCCATCCAGGATATAGGCGTTTGTAGGGCAAATGTCAATGTGCTTGAAGAAGTTGTTCCACATGTAGGAGTGGAAGCTCTCAGGGTGGTCACGTGGGATGCCTAAGTAACCACAGCACCACCGTTACTTTCCTGTCCTCCCCCAAAAGTAGCTGACAGGACGCCTCAGAGGAACAAATCAATCAATCAACAAACAGGTACTTATTCAGGACTTACTGTGGGTTAGGTAGTAGAGCTACCCTTAAGAAGCCTATATTCTACTAGGAGAAACACCACACACACACACACACACACACTCTCACTCTCTCTCTCTCTCACACTCACAAAATAAATGCAAGGCGAATGTATGGTGGGGAAGGCAGTAGCACCTGAGAGTTGGAAGACACCTCACCTGACTCAACCTATAGCTGATAAAGAATGCCTTCTACAGCTTCCCTGACAAGTGGTTGTCCAGCCTGAGCTGGAAGACCTCCAGGGAAGACAAGCCCAGCACCTCTTGAGGCGATCCATTCCATTTTTGGAAAGCTCTCCATTGCTACCAATATTCCTTGTTGAGCCTAAAACTGCCTCTTTTCAGCTTCTACCCATTGTTTCTAGTTCTAATCTCTGGGGCCAAGAAGATGAAATTTAATCCCCTTGTCACATTACAACTTTCAGATATCTGAAGACAGGTATCATGTGCCTCTCCAAGCCTTCTCTTCTGCAGACTAAACCAAATTCCTTCAACCCATCCTCATGGTATGATTCGTGTTTTTTCACTCTCCCATTTGCCTTCAAGTTTATCAATGTCCATTGATCAATCAAGCATTTTATAAGTGACTTGCCCAGGGTCACACAGCTAGTAAATGTCAATTGTCTAAGGCCAGATTTGAACTCGGGTCCTGCTGACTCCAAGGCCAGTGCTCTATCCGCTGTGCCACCTAGCTGCCCCCCCCATGCAAGCTCCTGAAGGGAATGGAATGCCAGATTGGTAGAGTGCTGGACACTGAATAGGATGTTACTGAAAGGAATTCAAGGATGGAAGACTTTGCAAAGTTGACCAGTTAACTAAAGGGTCAAGATTTTGAGGAGAGTAAAGTCAAGCCTGAGAAAAGGGCCGAAATGACTACAGGTTGTAAAGAGGATAGAAAATAGATAGGAGAGGGGTAAGGTACAGGGAAAAATGGAAAGACAGGAGGTTATGGTCAGATAAAGGCATTTCCGAGTTTGGGATTGTGCAGGTAGAACTCTTGTGGGTGATGATGAGTGAAGTATATAGCTGAGGTAGGGTAAAGGTGAAGATCATGGGAATTGAGGTTGATAAATGGGGAAGCAAAGCATTCCTAAAATGTGGGATCCAGAATTAAACACTGTACTCCGGAAGTGATGGGGAAAGTATGCTCAAACAATGTTGTTTTTTTGTTTCTCGAAAAAGATCTGAGGGTTCTAGTGGCCTGCTAGATCAATGGCCGCCAAATCAGCTAATAAAATCTTAGGCTGCCTTAAGATAAGCATAATGTCCAAGATTAGGGAGGTGATAATCTCCCTATCCTCTGCCCCAGTCAGGCCACATCCACTCTTGACACCAAAGGTTCTTAACTTTTTTACGTCATGGACCCCTTGGAAGTTTGGTGAAGCTCACGGACTCTTTTTCAGAATACTGTTTTTAAATACCTATGCTAAATATATAGGATTATAAACCAATTATACTGAAATACAGTTTTCATAATATTTTTAAAAATCAAGTTCAGGGACCCCAGGTTAAAGATCCCTGCTCTACATACTCCTGGGGGATAAAAGCCTGAAACAGAAAGTTTTAGTCACCACTCGTTTACCTGACACCCTATGGCCAACCTGGAAAAGTTAACCAAACATAAGGGAAAGTTATCCCCCAGCCACAGGAGATAGGTCATATAGTGGTATCC